TGTGTAGTATTGGGATGCAAGTCGAGTTTCAACTTATGTTGAAAAAATACTACTAAGACCTAGACCCTTTTTTTAATAAAAACAATTCTCGAATAAAAGATAAAGAAAATTATAATTTCTAATTAACATGCGAAAAAATTGCAACAACTTGATTAAAAATTAAAAGACAAACTATAGATTTATGAAGTCAAAAAAATGGTGGTATCAAAAGTTTATATATCTTAAGACTAGATTTGAACTAAATACACATCACACTAGAAAAAACATAAATACTGGAGCCTTCATGTTAATCCTCTCAAGACTTGATATGGAAACAAAAGATAGATCCAAGAAATTCTCATAAAATCAGAAACATCTTACCATTAATTAGGTATAACCTAATCACCCCTAATAATTATAATAGCTATTGGATCTATTCTATTTTCTAAATAATTATCCACTTCTGCTATTGTGTAAAACAATATAAACTAACTCCTGACTCTAATTTGTATTACCCACTTGTGTCATTAAGAAACATGATCACTGTGAGCTTTTCGACCCATGCACCTACTTGGGGCTTCCCATGGGCCTCACTAAACCACAGGTCAAGGACTATGCTCCTCTCATATGTAGGATTGAAAGAAGACTGTCAGCCAGTTCACTAATGCTATCTTATGCTGGGAGGTTGCAGCTTGCCAATTCAGTCCTTTCATCCCTCCCAACCTATTATATGTGCTCGTTGAAGCTCCCAGTAGCAGTTGTGGACATCATTGACAAGCATAGAAAGAATTGCCTTTGGAGAGGCAGTGATTTCAGAAGGAAAGGATACAATCTTGCTGCTTGGAACCTGGTCATGAAGCCCAAAGGCAAAGGAGGACTTGGGATTATTAACCTTACTCTCCAGAATGATGCTCTCTTGCTGAAGCAATTGGATAAGTTTTATAATAAGGCTGACATCCAGTGGGTAAATCTTATTTGGGAGAAGTATTACCCTGATGGTGTTCCCCACCTTAGAAGAGAAAAGGGATCATTTTGGTGGAAGGACATCCTCAGGCTTCACATTAAGTATTGCTATCTGTACCCCAAACAAAGGTGACACTGTGAGCTTTTGGGATGATCTGATTCTGGATGTCATTCACTCAGAGAAGTTCCCCAACCTTTTTTATTTTGCCATGGACCCAGCTATATCTCTTTGGAAGATCAGGACTGCTGATTCTCTGATTAATCATTTCAGAATCCCCATGTCTAGACAGGCTCATAATGAATTCCTAGAATTGCAAGAGGAGCTTCTCTCTATGCATCCTATTCAATTTGAGGCTAAAGACTGCTGGAGTTTCATCTGGGGTCACCAAAAATATTCTTCGAAGCAGGTTTTATCATTATCACTTTGCCTCTATAATTCCTCCCAGAACTGTCACTTGGATTTGGAAGGCTAAGTGTGTCCCAAAGATCAAATTCTTTGCTTGGTTGCTGCTTAATGATAGACTAAACACTAGAAATATGCTGAGAAGAAGAAACAAACTCTTAGAGGAAGGGTACTGCTGTGTGCTCTGTCAGGATCATATGGAGGAGACCTTTGAACATCTTTTCTTCGATTGTCCCTCTGCCATTTCCAGATGGTTTATGCTGGGTCTCACCTGGGAGGAGGATGTTAATATTCATGAGAAGCTGGTCATTGCCAAAGGAAGCTTCCCCTATCCTTTCTTCATGGAAATCTTCATGATAGGTGCTTGGTGCATCTGGAACGAACGAAATGCTTTCATTTTTTATGGAAAGATTCCAAGACTGGCCTCTTGGAAGGCTGTTTTCAAGAAAGAAGTTTATGAACATCTCTTCAGGATAAAGCAAAGTCTTCACCCCTGTATTAAGTTGTGGCTTGAGGCCTTGTAATCTTCTCTGTAATTAGTTAGTTGCTTCTTCTGCGTTAGTTTAGGCCCGTTTTTTCTTCAGTTCTTCAGTTTCAGTTTTTAGCTAGTTTGTGGTGCCTCACTGCTGGTTAGGCCTCCTCCTTTTTCTGTCTCCTTTTCATGTAAGTTTGTTGTACTCTCTCTTTTATAATTCAAAGCCGTCGGGGGGTTTTATACCCCACGGTTTCAGTTAAAAAAAAAGATTTAATTAAAGGTAATATACATGTCGTGCCAATAAGCATGAGCAATAAAATACATATGTTATGTTTCATCACATAAAAATATTTTCTTAACAACTCAAATACTAATGATACTAACAAATTATTTAAAACCATATTAGTAATCATAACCTATAATTTATATAGAATATTATTTAGATATATTTGTGTATTTTAACTAGAATGTTTGGCATGTGTATATTGATAGTATAACCATAACTGCAAATATAATTCCTTGATAGGCAAATTCAATCATCTTTAGAAGTGTGGGAGACCACCAATGACAATATTTTTCTAGCCCTTTAAGTATACTTTAGAGGAAAGTCAAACATTATAAGGTTTAAGTATTAAAATTCTTCTGAGATTAGCATTGCTACCCATATTCGAGATCTCACTTCAAGCTCTATGACTTATCTTAAGCGATATGGTGCAAGTTTTAAATAATGGCTTATGCTATTTTAGTACATAAGAACATACTCTATGATCTACAATCCTTATTTTAAAAAATGCAAAAAGGAGAATTAATTAAAGGTACAATAAGCACAAGAGTCTCAACTTAACTTGAGGAGAGAGAAAAATCCATAGCGATCGATAAGAATAAATTTTGAAAATTCAAAATTTAGATTCATGACTTCATAAGATACATGATGCATCAAGAGCCACCATGATTAATGGTAAGTTAAGGTTTAAAAGTAATTGTGTATTTAATATAGAGAGAGGTGCCATGCAAAGGAAAACTATGAATATGGATAAAAAAATTATAGATTAGTTCCTTGAAAAAATAGTAATCAATAAGCTTATGATAACTAGATATAGTCTACAGAGTATCTATTATGTCTATTATGTTAGAAAATAAACAAACAAAAATAACATAGGATGTAATATAAGTAATTATTTATTAGTCAGATATACTCATCTATTCCAAATTATAAGACCTTTTGTGTTTTTTAAATATATAGTTTTTGCTATAAAATATATAGTTTTTGCTATACAATTAGATGTGTCGCCTAGATATATAGTAAAAAGAATATATCCAGAAAATTCAAAATATCTTATAATTTGGAATGAATGGGATACTTCTAAAATTCTAGCCCGTGAGAGAGCACGGGTTGATGGACTAGTTATTATAAATTAGTATAAATATTATTATAAACTAGAGTGGCTATAGAATAAGTTTTTCTTTGGCCTAACCCTATGCTCCTCATCCCTCGATCCTAATCAGCCTACAGAATGTATAAGCAATAAGCTACATGACAAATGAGCTGAACAAACTAGCTCTAAAATGAAGAAATAGGAATGCAACATCACAGTCCTCACTTAACAAAGACAATTTAGGTGTCTTACCTCTCTCTCTCTCATCATACCCAGTGAGTCAGAATGGATTATTCTCGCGCACAGGGAGTCACGTCGTCTATGGCCTGCAGGGATAAGGACGTCCACCATTGTTATTAATTGCACCCGGTCAACTCACGGGTCACGGGCTCACGGCATGTCATGTTCATGTGTGCATCAACTTCAAACTAGACAGTTCACTGATTCCCAGGGCCTATTGGGCGTGACCGGTTAATTACGTCCGCATGACGAGCTTACAGAAAACCTCTGATTAAGCTGCGCTTTATGGTCGCCGTCCATGAAATAAAATTCGTGGATCATCTCCAAGATTCACGAGCATAAGTGAATAAAATAGTAAAGTGCTAGAGCCTCCTCTGTCACTAGCATGTGTATCCAGCTCGTTGTGTGGTTCTCATATGAAGTCTTAAAAGGTGTTTTGCCTCATCGATCACGAACGAGATAATTCTAGCCTCGTCGGCCGCGGAAATTAAAGAGGCTTACCAGATAAAGAGGGGTATTGAGTTAGGTCAGATCATTCTCCATTGCACGGTCCAAGAAGTTCAAAAAACAATATAATAAAGAGATACTCGATAGACTATTGTAATAGAGATCTTGATGGATATGTGATAACGTCACTATCTTTGATAAGTACATTTCCATTATAACCATAACATTTGTAATATAAATCTTGATGAATTTGTGATGCATGTGTATCTAGTCTATATTACCGTAACCATAGGGAATATAAAGTACCACACAAAAAATAATTAAAAAAATATTAAATAACAAAATGGAAAAATAAGATCACAGCCAGTTCACCAGAAAACCGGCAGTGATGATAGGCATAGCACTGCTGGCTCAAGTACTGAGCCGACAGTGTTGCCAAAATCAACACGGACACCTGCAGCCCTAAACCGGCAGTGATCATAGCAATATCACTGTCAGCTTGGGAGATGAACTGGCAATGTTGTTCGACTCAACACTGCCGGTTGGAGCCACGAACCGACAGTGTTGGCTCAAACAAACCGGCAGTGAAGGTGGTTATCACTGTCGGTTTATCACTGGTTTAAAAAAAACCGACAGTGATAGGACAGGCACATCACTGCAGATTTAGTTCTGTCGGTTTAAACTCTGGAAGTGAAGGAGGTTTGAACCGGCAGTGATGTCCTTCTTTGCAGTAGTGTTTGCATGATTGATATCATGAAGCAAATGTATTTAACGGAACTCATCATCAATCGATTAAAATTTGGTTAAAAAGGGTATCCATATAGTGATTCGTATTCACTCGACGATCCCTTAGTTAATTGCGCCGCCTCGGCTGTTGGTTGCACAATAAGCTCGTACGCATCATGCATGTTCTCCCTTCTCGTTAAAAATCTTCTCCATCCCATAAATATCTATATGATCACGACGATGTTGACCCAGATCGACGACTAACGAACGACACACGACGACACGCTGCTTGCCTGCTTGATCTATAATTCCGACGCACTACTGGCAAGACCTGTGTCCACCTAACCTAAGTCATCATCAGGTCGGTGACAACCAGCTCATGCATGTTGCCATGGAGATGCCGGCGGCCCTCCTCGTCCTGTGCCTCGCCGTCTCTCCCGGGCTCGTCGTCCACGGCCAGGACGACACGCTGGGCTTCATCAGCATCGACTGCGGCATCGCCGAGGGCACGGCCTACGCCGACCAGCCCACCCACGGCCTGCGCTACGTCTCCGACGCCGGGTTCACCGACGCGGGGGCGGGGCTCAACGCCGCCATCAACCCGCCCTACAACGTCGAGGGCACCTCCACCCGCTACCTCACTGCCCGCTACTTCCCCGACGCGCGGAGGAGCTGCTACACGCTCCGTCCGGGGGTGACCCCCGGCGGCCGGTACCTCGTGAGGGCAACCTTCTACTATGGCAACTACGACGGGCTCAACAGGCTCCCCGTCTTCGACCTCCACCTCGGCGTCAACCGCTGGGTCACCGTCAACGTCACCGCACCCGGCGCCTCGTACATCTTCGAGGCGGTGGTGGTGCCGCCGGCAGACTTCTTTCAGGTGTGCCTGGTGAACCGAGGCCTGGGCACACCGTTCATCTCCGGGCTTGATCTGAGGCCGCTCCAGGACGACATGTACCCGGAGGCCACCCTCAACCAGTCGCTGGCGCTGCTCAACTTCCGCCGGCCGACGGCCACATACATCTTGAATCGGTACCACTTCAGGCGCCCGGCCAGTACGTACGCTTTGCTCAGGTGAGTAGATATGGTCCGTGATGCAGCTTTAGTTTGCCGCTACCTAGTCAAGTTTATTTGAGCGTCAAAATGATCTTACCAACCTGATCTGATTTTTAATCCGTGGAGCACCTTTGTGTTCACTTGTTAGTTGTCCATCTTCTAATATCATTCTTGTTTCTCTATTTAGTCAATGAACTCAGTGTGATGGTCCTGCTCGGGGTTGGCCGTTTGGGCGCCCTGCTAGTGGGCTGAAACCCAACCCGTAGCCACACCACTCCATACAGTATTGAACGAAAAATAAACCCGTCATCTACGAAAACCAACCCACCCCCGACGTTATGTTATTTCAGCCTATATACTGTACCAAGCATTGACCAACCTGTGGTTTCAGCCTACTAAAAAACCATCCCAGCCCACGGTTTTACAAGCTCATAACCAAATAAGCTGACGAACGAGCAGGTGCTTTTACAAGCCAACGAATGAGCTAACTAGCTTGCTCGCTGCTGCTACTTTAGCAGCCACAGCGCTGCCGCTGCTGGTTTCATCACTGATTAAACAGTACATGTAAACAACCACAGCTAGCTATTCCAAACAATTAAGCTGACACATCGACTGAACATAAATGAATTTAAACAGCCACAGCTATAGCTCTTCCAAGCAGGTTGAACATAAACTGAAACATTTTTACGACACATCGACTGAATGACTGATAGATTGAAAACTGGTAGACTGAACATTTTTACAGACTGATAGACTGAACATTTCAACGAATGGGCTAACCAAACAAGCTGAACATTCTTATTATACACTAAAACACTGAACCTTCTCTGAATCGAAAACTCTGAAGATGACATTTGTATAATCAGAGGCAGCTTGCTTATGTAAAAGATAGACATCTGAGGTTCTCACTTAACAGTCTCCATGTCAACATCTTGGTCGTCGACATAGGTCCAAAAGTCTTCCTACAAGAAAACAATGTCACTGTAAATAAAAATTCCCCGTGCTGAAAATATGAACAGGTTGTTTGAGGTATAAATAAATTTATGCAATAATTTTTTTTATCAAAAAAAGGATCACTGCAAATGATATTTCCTGTATTCAAATTTCAATTTTATATTGAAGGTGCACAGAAATGTCCTTTATTGATGTTTATGAATGTATCTGGACACCAAAACTGCATGATACAGAAATGTCCTTTATAAAAAAAAATTGATGTTTATGAATTTATCTGGACACCCCATGTAGTTGTATATGACTTTTGTGAAATTACCACAATTTTACTGGAGACTCAAGTAACAGGGACGGCAAATAAACAGATACTCTGATTCCAGAACAAACCAAAGAAAACAACCTACATGATCAGTCAATCAGTCAACCAAGCCATTTTCATCTCTCAGACAAAGGAAGCAATGGCTAGTAATAAATTCAGAGCATGATCAGTCAATCAGTCACAAATTGTGCATGCTGTGTATAGTCATAATATAGCTTAGCAACTAGAGCACAACGAATCCAGCTTCCAAAGCACTGGAATTTGAAAAGAATAAGCATTTGAAATAAAAAAAATCAACCCATTCTCCACTACCAACTTCAGAAGCAGGACATTGAATTCCAAAATTCCTACAGAATTCTGCAACACCATCTCACAAATTGGCGCAACATTAATTAAATATGGAAAAGTAGCACACCACGTAGGAGCATCACATAAACCCCAGGGTACAGGCACTGCAAGCAGGGTTAACAACTGACATAGTATGGTAAGCCGGCATAAGATCACTGATCAACATTCAGATACCCAGAGCATTCCATTACCACCATGACTATTCATAATACAGGCAAAAAGGCACTGCAGCACTTAACTACACCACACCAGCCAACCACTACAGGACTACTGAATTCCAAAGCACAGAAACGAGAGCACCTTTTCATAAAACTCGGCCCTTGTTTAGTTCCCAAATTCTGCACCCCCAAACTTTGGAGTTACTGTTTACCCAAATTCTGCATACTGTGTCAGGAAATGTGCAGTACGTTGTGCATGGCTTGTCACATGCTGGGTCTTCTCTTCTGTGAGGTGTTCCAGGGCATCATATACTACTCATCAGACTAAAACATCTACATGTGTGTGATACTGTGATGGAAGTGCATGCAACAGGCAACATAGTATTGTGTGACAAGCCATGTTGTCATGATGGAAATTTTGCATGCCCCCAGTACGTTGTCATGCACAATCGCATGAACAACTGTAAGCTCTACACACTTTATTGCATATTCAAAAACTCAAGTAAAATGTAGTCAAATCCGCCGAAAATTGTTACAGACATTCGGATAGTACATAAGCAAATACATCTTCTCAATCTCAGATTATTCACGACCTATTAAACAAATGATGAGCCAGCCTGTCTCGGAATGCATTCATGCTTTCCATGTCCGCACTGTCTAGAGCAGGCTCTGTCTCAGGCTGATCCACATATGCTTCAACAAGCGCATAGTTTACATTGCTGTCTAGCATACCAAAGTCACCATCAAAGTCACCATTGATCCTGATGAAGTTGTGCAACGCCATGCATGCAACTATTATATGTGTCTGTATCTCAGGTGGATACGACGGGATGTTAAACAATATGCGCCACTTCATCTTCAACACTCCAAACGCCCTTTCGATGACATTTCTAAGAGATGAATGCGCATAATTGAATATTTCCTTAATACCTTGTGGTTCGGGGGCGTTTTGAAAGTCTTGGATGTGATACTTGGTCTGCCGGTAAGGAGACAGAAACCCGGGGCGGTTTGCATACCCCGAGTCCACCAGGTAGTACTTCTCTGCAGCAGTAAGTACCTGTAAGTTTAACAAGCTTCAATTAGAAAACAGTATTGAACTAGCAGCAACGTGTGTACCTCTAGGCGCCTTAGGGAAGAAATCTCTGTACTTTGTGAGTGCATCATCTAACACTCTCATGTCATGCACCGATCCAGGCCAGCCAGCAAGGACAAAAGTAAAGACCATGTCAAAGTCACAAACGGCCATGACATTCTGGGTTGTCTTGCCCTTCTGACACATGTGCTGCATAAACTTATCACTTGGCACGACCACAGGAATGTGAGTGCCATCTATTGCCCCTATGCAACCCTTGAATTTAGGATAGAACCTAGCATTATGGACCCTAGGATGCATTGTTGTAAAATCTGGGTCCCTAGGTTTAATAATGTCGGCAGATAGATCTAACACACTGCTGAGGACTTTGTAAAAAAGGTTGTGCACAGTGCCTAGTGATCTCTCAAATCTGTCCTCTGCTTGCCTAACTGATTGTGGAGCCCCAAGTATCCAAAGGAACATTGCTAGAGCCTCAATAGAGGTAGACTTTGTTGAGGATGTGATGCCATAGTTTGTAGTCAACAAACTATGCAGACTATAAAATATTTGGGGACTCATTCTAAACATATTGTAGCAGGCAGTTTCATTGGCAAGCTTGTTTTGTACCCATTCCTCACCAGTATATGGTGGCTTCCTATACGCAGCTCTATTGCAATACTTGTCCAGATGTATAGCGTAGTCATACGTACCATAGATAAATGCTGCTTCATCATCATCTTCTAGCAGCATTTTCCAAAACTCCTCCCACCAGTCGTCGTCATCATCCACTTGAGCATTAACTTGATCAACAACTTCCTGGCCATTGCAATAGAACACACAGACAGTCAGTACAAAAACTGTTGCTACCCACTATACTCATGCAAGGCTACCTCAATTCAAACATACCATGACCTCACACAGGCAATCAATATAAAAACAAAAATGAGCTTGAGAACTTAGTTTAACAACCATGCTGCAAATTAAGGGCTTAATGACATTGTTCATCATCACAACCTCGCACATAAAAGACATAGTTCATATAGGACTAATGATCTGCACACACAAAAGACATAGTTCATCATACCAACTACAGTCACATATAGGTGAAATGCATGGATAGATGGTTCTAGTTTCCGACCCCAGCATAGTGCATAATGACTTCAAGCCTTGCTTCCACAGGTGTTTCGAGGAAGACATTCCTGGCATCGTCATCTTTGCAGATATTGATCACACCAACCCACAGCCCTTGTATCTTGTGTGCCCCAACCTCTCTTGCTGCAGCCACAACCAATTTCTGTTCTTGTTTCTTGATGTTCTTCTCCTCATCAAGAGCCGCAACCTGTTGCTGCCTCTCCTTCCAGCAGTTTTGCATCGTTGCGGTCCTGTTCTCATAACTGGAGTTGAACCTGCTCATGTTCTCCCGAATTCGGGCACCTGCATGAAGGGTCCCATCAAAGGAGACGAGAAATCGACCACATCAGGGAGACGAGAAATCCAGGCACAGATCAGACGACCGCCCCGAAAACATCAAAGAACCAATCTGTTCGTTCTTCCAATAGAACCCGCCTCGCAGCTGTGATCCACCTCGCTCCTCCTCCTTACGACCTGCAAACGAAGGAATTAATAAATCAAGTAACAAGAAGAATTTTAATACTCCAAATATTAGCCAATAATTGATTTGGTGATTCACGGATGCAAAAAGCAAGCTTTTGACCAATAAAAATCAAGCACAGAGTCACCTTGACTCACGACGAGCACTGCTCGGTGCTGCAGGAAAAGATCTGGGCTAGCCGATTTGGAGCGGCATCAGCTGCCTGTGCGAGCTGTGCTGTTGAGTAAATTGCTCTTGCAACTAGACCACACACGCAAGTGCTTGAAGCAGGAACAAGCGAGGAACAGAGAGAAGATACAGGTGGCCAGGGACATGGATCCATGATTCGGTTTCTTTTCAAGCAAGATTCAGAAAAAAAAAACAGAATAGGAGGGAGAGGGAGGAGGCAGAGAGAAGCACGCACATCTTGGAGAGCGGCGCCCGCCCGAGATCTTGCGATATGGAGGAGGAGCGGCGGCGGCGTCGATGCGTGTGCGAAGCGGTGGCGGCGGCGACGTACTCGTGAAGCGGCGGCGACGAAGCGCTGTGCGAAGCGGATGGAATCGAGCTCGAGTGTAC